AGGTCATCTAGTCCAACCCCCTGCTCAAGCAGGAAACCCTATACTCTTCCAGACAAATGGCTGTCCAGTCTATTGTTGAAAACTTCCAGTGTTGGAGCACCCACAATTTCTAAAGGCAACTTGTTCCACTGATTAATTGTTCTAACTGTCAGGAAATTTCTCCTTAGTTCTAGGTTGCTTCTCTCCTTGAGTAGTTTTCATCCATTGCTTCTTGTCCTGCCTTCAGGTCCTTTGGAGAATAGCTTGACTCCCTCTTCTTTGTGGCAACCCCTGAGATATTGGAAGACTACTATCATGTCACCCCTTGTCCTTCTCTTCATTAAACTAGACATACCCAACTCCTGTAACAGTTCTTCATATGTTTTAGCCTCCAGTCCCCTGATCATCTTTGTTGCTCTTCTCTGCACTCTTTCTAGAGTCTCAGCATCTTCTTTGTATCGTGGTGACCAAAACTGGATGCAGTATTCCAAGTGTGGCCTTACCAATGCATCACACTCCACCTGATCTTGTAATCGAGTAATAAAGATTCCGTAAGCATATTCCAATCTCATACAGGAAACTATTAATGAGAGTACTTCTCTCGGTATATCAAAACCTCATTTCATTAGGAACAGAAGCCTAATTGAGCTGCGTGTCTCTCTAGAGAATTTGCATCGTCAAAGGGAGGAACTGCAACGTGAGAGAGTCAAGCGGCAAAAACAGAAGTGGAAGCTGTTAATATCGTATGAACCCCTCGAAGAATCCGAATTAAAGACCCACAAGGGAATTCTGAGTGAATCCCCAACGATCCTTCATAGCTACTTCCTAGGAAAGCACAAGTTGCTTTGACAGCTATATCTATTGATTCGCGCAGATCTTATGCAAAACTCTTGCAAGTAGTCCCCAACGTACAGCCATTTGCTTATTGACCATTCAAAAGTTGCAATGTCACTGAAAAACATGACTTACAACCAGCATTCACAGCTTCCCCATCGTCACATGATCAAAATTTGGATGCTTGGCAACTAGCATGTATTTAGTACAGTTGCCAGGTCCTGGGGCCATGGGATTGCCACTTACGGGGGAAGATAGATTCTCTTCATGAGCATGTGATTCCTTTAATGTCTACAGTGATTCACTTAATAACTGTGGCCAAAAAAGCCATAACATCTAACCTGTCTCACTTAACAACCACTTTGCTTAACAGCAGAGATTCAGGCCCCAATTGTAGTCATAAGTCAAGGGCTATTTGTATATTCTTCCAAGAACCAATATCAACCATCAGTCTAGGACAGGGGTCTTCAAACGTGGCCCTTTTATGACTTGTGGACTTCAACTCCCAGAATTCCTCAGCCAGCGTGCCATAAAAGGGCCAAGTTTGAAGACCCCTGTTTCAACCAGAGAAAGAAAGAAATTGGGATGAGAATTCTGGGAGTTGAAGTCCACAAGTCATAAAAGGGCCACGTTTGAAGACTCCTGGTCCACAAATGATTTGATTCCTATCTCGAATGATAGAAAAATGGAAGGAGCCAGCCGCTCTGAATAAATAATCTTTCACTGTTCAGAGGCAAAATTTCTGGCAATCTGCACATGCTCAGAGGTAAGCCATGTGCTGTAGATATTTCTTGCTTAGAATCACCTGTTTATGACAGCAAGAATTATGGACAAGTTTCATCGGCAGCGTTTCGCCTTCTCTCAAGTATATATGCTTGCAGCCTCACCAGCTTTGGGAGACTTCAAATATTCCTAGAAACTCTTTGATTCACACTTAGCATATTTGAAATGCTGTTGGAATAAAAAATGTGGCTTAGAAACCAGAAAGCATAAGAAATTCTTCTTCCCTGCCAGAGCCTATCAGGGACACATTTTGCATTTTAATTTCCTCTTCCTGAAACTGTAAAGTTGTACAGTACAAGTAAAAAAAAAAAAAAAAAAAAAGAAAGCTGAATGTTCCCGGACCATCTGTAAACTGCTGAGACGTGCATAAAAACCTTCCTTCCCAGCATGCATTCCAAAATATTCTGTAACAAAAACCGAACTGTGAGATCCGCTAAGGAACGTACAGCATCTTTCTCTAGAGGCAGCCTTCCGATATCCTGGTTTATTGCTAAGCAGCAGATATCAGTAACTCGAGAAACTTTAAGAATGGAAAACTTTAAGAAGAGCTGACTCCCAGCAATTCTTGGGCAGTTGATGAAGAAAAAGATAAAAAAAAAAACAAGGAAAAAAAACCATAATTATGAACGAAAACAAAGAATAGAAGATGACGACTTGACCTACTCAGTCCACAGACGGTTTCACTCAACCTCACCAAAGCCCTAAAAATCAGATGAATCTTTCTCCTTTCGCTTTGTTGTATGTTGCCCAGAGTTACTTGTGTGGTGAAATGGGCAGCTATATAAATTGAATAAATCAATCTATTGAAGACATAAGATAAAATGCCATGGACCATCTTTCTCCTTCTCTCTCTCTCCCCCTCTCTCATTCTCCCTCTCTCTCATTCTCTCTCTCTTTTTCTCTTTCTTCACCTCTCTCTCATTCTTTGTCTCTCATTCTCTCTTTTTTCTCTTTCTCCATCTCTTTCTTTCTCTCTCATTCTTTTTCTTTCTTCATCTTTCTCTTTATTTCTCTCTCATTCTCCCTCTCATTCTCTCTCTTTTTCTCTTTCTTCATCTCTCTCCCATTCTCTCCCATTCTTTCTCTCATTCTTTTTTTATCTTTCTCCATCTCTTTCTTTTTCTTTCTCCATCTTTCTCTTTATTTCTCTCTCA